CCAAACATAACAAAATAAAATATAATAACACCAAAACCATCACATTGAAGTTGGACAAGGCAAACCAACAAGAGGAAAAGAGCCCCCAAGAGAAGGCACTAGAATTAGAGACCCACTCACTCCCACACTCAGGAATCCTATGAAAATACTAAACTGAAAGCTATAATAAAAACTCAGAGGACTTGCTGCAGCCCTGTGCTTGCTGCTTCAGTCTCTGAATTCATAGGAGGTTTGCTCAGTTGATTTTGAGGACCTTGTTCTCCTGGTTTCTCATCTGCTCTGGCTCCCACACTCTTTCTGCCTCCTCTACTTCAGAGTTCCCTGAGCTCTGAGGGGAGAGAATTGATGGAGACATCCTATTTAGAGCTGTGTGTTCCAAAGTTTCTCTCTGCATGTCTGACTGTGGGTCTCTGTATTTGTTCCTATGGCTGCAGGAGGAAGCCTCTCTGATGATGGCTGAACACATCACTGATCTGTGAGTATAGCAGAATATCATTAGGAGTCTTATCACTACATTTTTTTCTTTTGACTAGTAGTATTGGGTTTTACCCTAAGTCTCTGGGCTATCTGGTCTCTGTTCCTTGATCACCCAAATGGTTCTGGGTATGGTTTCCATCTCATGAGGTGGACCTTAAGTCAGATCAGACACTGATTGTTCACTCCCACATACAAACTTTGTGCCACCATTGCATATCTTGCAGGCAGGAAGATTGTAAATCAGAGGTTTTGTGGTTGGCTTGGTGTTTGCATATCTCTTTTGGTAGCCTGCAGAGTCTTTTACCGTACTATAGACACTAGGACATGGGAAGGTTCTGTGTGGGCACCAGACTGATCACTTGATGTTCAGTAAGTTGTGTGTAAGTGCTGTCTTCAGCAGTGGGGCCTTGCTGTCAGTTTGTGGAGAGCAACTTACTGTCTTGGCAACAGACTGGGTTGTTTGGGGATTTCCATGTAACCCATTGGCCAGCAACTCAATTGAATGTAACCCAGTACCAGTACTGGAAGCTTCGTTTGGTGGCAAGAAGTGGCCGTCTGGGACTCCATTTCCCTCATTATTTAGAGACTTTATATGTTAGGAATGTCCACTATACTAGGTTTCCATACCACCCGCAAATGCTCTTCAATACTAGCTGTCTGTCCCTGCATTCCCTCCCTCAATGCCATCTCCCTTCCCCCTTCCCACCGGATCCTCCCATTCCTATCTGCCCCACCCCTCCCCCAGTCCACCCATAAAATCTATTCCATTTCCCCCTCTCAGAAAGGTCCATGTACATCGCCTCCCCACCCCCAGTCCCTTCCTCTATACCTAACTTCTCAGGGTGTATAGATTGTAGATTGGTAATCATTTATTTAATGGTTAGTATCTACATATGTGAATACATACCATATTTATCTTTTTGGGTGGGTTACCTCATGCAGGATTTTTTTTTTCCTAATACCATCCATTTGCCTGCAAATTTCATGATGTCATCTTTATAACTGAGTAATTAATATTCCACTGTGTGAATGTACCACATTTTCTTTATCCATTCTTCTGTTGAGGGACATCTAGGTTATTTCCAATTTCTGCCTATTATGAATAGAGCAGTGGTGAACATGGTTAAGCATGTGTTTCTATGGAAGGATGAATCATCCTTTGGATGTATGCCCAGGAGTTGTGTAGCTGAATCTTGAAGTAGATTGATTTCATCTTTCTAAGGAACCACCATATTGATTTCCAGAGTGGCTGTACAAGTTCGTACTCCCACCAGCAATGGAGGAGTGTTCCCTTGCACCATATCCCCTCCACTTGTGTTTCTGATCTTGGCCATTCTGACAGGTGTTAAGATGGAATTTCTTTTTTTCTTTTTCTTTGGAGACAGGGTTTCTCTGTGTAGCTTTGGAGCCTATCCTGGCACTCGCTCTGGAGACCAGGCTGGCCTCGAACTCAGGGAGATCCGCCTGCCTCTGTCTCCCAAGTGCTGGGATTAAAGGAGTGCGCCACCAACGCCCAACAAGATGGAATTTCTTAAGTTTTGATTTGCATTTCCCTGATGGCTAAGGATCTTAAACATTTCCATAAGTGTTTCTCAGCCATTTTAGTTTCCTCTCTTTAGAATTCTCTGTTTAGATCTGTGCCCCATTTTTTTATTGGGCTTTCTGGTTTTGGGGTATCTAGTTTCTTGAGTTCTTTATATATTTTGGATATTAGTCCTCTATTGGATGTGGAGTTGGAAAAAAGCCCTTTCCCAATCTGTAGGCTGCCACTTTTGTCCAAATTATGGCGTCCTTTGCCATGCAGGAGCTTATCAGTTTCAAGAAGTTCCATTTGTTATTGTTGATCTTAGTGTCTTTTTTTGTGTTCTGTTCTCTTAGTCTTCCCTGTGCCAATGCATTCAAAGCTACTCTTCACTTTTTCTTCTATCAGGTTCAGTGTATCTGGTTTTCTATTTCAGTCTTTTTGATCCATTTGTAGTTGAATTTTGTACGTGGTGATAAATAAGGATCTGTTTGTATTCTAGTTTGTATTTCTGGCATTTTGTCAAAGATCAAGTGTCCATAGGCATTGAATTTATGTCTGTCTTCAGTTCAGTTCCATTGATCAACATGTCTCTTTTTATGCCATTACCATGATGGTTTTTTAATTAACTGTATCTTTGTAGTACATCTTGAAATCAGGGATGGAGATACCTCCAGCAGTTCTTTCATTGTTCAAGATTGTTAACCTGTTTTTTTGTTTGCTTGTTGTGTGTGTGTGTTTGTGTGTGTGTATTTCCATATGAAGCTGAGAATTGTTCTTTCAAGATCTGTGAAGAATTGTGTTGGAATTTTGGTGTGGATTGCATTGAATCTGTAGATTGCTTTTGGTCAATTGGCCATTTTACAACTTATACATGAGCATGGGCGTGTAGGACGAATAATAAAAACCCAGAGACAGATATTGGGGTTAAAGCTAAAGATCAGAAAAGCAAACCAGCCAGCCACTAGCTCTTCACGCTACCTCAGACTGAAAGGGCGATCCTGTTTCCACAAATACTCAGATTGAATTCGACTGCATCTGTCTCCACCAAACCTCAGACTGCAAAGCTGTGAGCGCCTTTCTCCTCCCCCTTAATATTCCTGTGTCTGCCATATCACTCCTGTCTCCACCTCCCTAGTTCTGGGATCAAAGGTGTGAGCTCTGTTTCTCTTTTAGACTGATTCACTTTCCTGTAGCCCAGGGTGGCCTTGAACTCACAGAGATCCATCTGCCTCTGTCTCTTGAGTGCTGCGATTGATTACAGGTATGGCCACTACTGTAAGGCCTCAATTGCTAACTAGTGTGGATAGCTTTGCACTCTGCTCTTCAGGCAAGCTTTATTTGTTAGATCATAGACAAAATGTCACATTTCCCTTTTTTGTCTAAAATAGAAAAGTATAACTAATATAAGAAAAACTATATATATACAGGCAGTCCATTTGCATTTGACAAATTCAGAGAAAATACTTCATATCTATCATTTCTTGGTGAGTTCAAAGGGTTGTACCTAATTCATTTTCTATTCTAATTTGCATTAGCAAATTATCTTAATGTCTCTCAACCTTTTACAATTTAACACCTCTTTAGTAAGTTTCTTTTCTGAGTCTGGTAAACAAGGAAAACTGTAACTGTAATATCTAGTCTTCAACTCCCTCAGAGACCTGAGAAGAAATTAACATTAACTGAGTGAGTAGGAAGTACAAACAAGCAACTTCCAAAAAAATGTGAGAAATGACAGAAACAGATGGATGCCAAGGTTCTTCTGTAATATTGGGGCATCCATCTTCAGCCTAAAGGTCTAGAATATTTGACAGACTTTTCTGTGAAGCAGGGTTTTTGAAGGACTGTCCTACCTTATCTTGGCAATGATTAGCAGTCACTCTGTTTTGTGTCCTGCTTGTCCAGTTTGGACAGCATACTGTCAACAGTCAAGGCACTTCTTGCCCAGTGGCTTACTTTTGCCATAAAGAACATAAACTCCATGTGGAGTTTCTTCAGAGCCCATCATCTTCTCTGTAGTATGTTGGTGCTGCCAAGAGCAGACATGTCTCATTGTCATAAAAAAACAAAACCCACATGGGGGATCTTTCCATCTTCTGATATCTTCTTCACATTCTTTCTTCAAAGACTTGAAGTTCTTGTTATACAAGTCTTTTACTTGCTTGGCTAGAGTTACCGTAAGATATTTTCTATTATTTGAGACAATTGTGAAGGGTGTAGATTCCCTGATTTCTTTCTTAGAAATTAGTCTGTCATTGTACATAGAAAAACTACTGATTTTTTTAAAATCAATTTTGTATCCTGCCACTTCACTAAAGGTGTTTATCAGCTGTAGGAGTTCCCTGGTGGCATTTTTAGGGTCACTTATATATACTATCATATCTTTTGCAAATTTTATCATGAAGGGGGGTGGATTTTGTCAAAGGCCTTTTCTGTATCTAGTGATATGATCATGTGAGGGATTTTGTTTTTCTTTCAGGCTTGTTTATATGGTGGATTATATTTACTGTTTGTTGTGTTTTGAACCATCCCTGCATCTCTGGGATGAAACATACATGCATGCATGCATGCATACATACATACATACATACATACATACATATGTGTGTTATTGTGTAGCGTGTGAGTGTTCGTGAAAGGTCAGTTGAGGGCATCTGATACTCTGCAGCTGGAGATACAGGAAGTTGTGAGCCAAGCTGGTATTAAGAACAGCCAGATCTCTTGACTGCTGAGCTATTTCTGTGGCCTCATAATGTTATTTTTTTTAAAGAGTTTATTTATTTATTACGTATACAACATTCTGCTTCCATGTATATCTGGACACCAGAAGAGGGCACCAGGTCTCATAACGGATGATTGGGAGCCACCATGTGGTTGCTGGGAATTGAACTCAGGACCTATGGAAGAGCAGTCAGTGCTCTTAACCTCTTAGTCATCTCTCCAGCCCTCATAATGTTATTTTTAATTGGTTTGCTAATTGTGTTTTTTCCTATTGTTTAAGGTTCCATGATGGAGTTTGAACATTACATCAAGAGGCTTCATATTTTGGATTAGTTAATTGTATTTGCCCTCTGCTGAGGACTTTGAAGCTTCAGATTTAGTTTCTGTGTCCTTCAAAGCATTAAATGCAGAGCGATTGTATCATGGACTGCAAGGAGAGCTGCCCAAGCGTAAGCATCCCCAGCTCTGATGAACATAGAGAGAAAAAGAAGAGGTTCACGGTAAGTGTGTGGCCAGAAGTCTAAGAGAGTAAGCACAGTGAATGTTTCCACTTCACCTGTGTTCTTCCCTAGCCAGGAATCCGCTTCCTCTCTTCCACGTGTCCATGTTTTACTTCTTTTGAATGAGCTATCCCCAAAGCCCTCTTGGCTACTGTAACAGTACTTGTCCTTTTTTAGTGCATATTTGTGCCTATTTACCTGTCCCTTTGGAGAACTTTATGAAACTCACACAGCCTCTTGTCATTTGAGTACATCTATCTATGTATGTAGACACTGTCTGTGCACTGTTAGCTTTGTACACACTGTCAGGTGTGAGTCCATGTTAAGGATTGAAATTTTCATAGTGTCTTATGGCATTTAGTTACTTTCCACCACATTTTAAAAATGTTTCCCTCTTCTTTTTTCACCTTAAAGGTAAAGAAGGCATTTCTTATTTTGTTTTTTAGTGCCACAGTATTTGCTGGAGGGCTTTATAAACAGTAGGTACAATGAGTATGTGCTTGTAGTGCTATCAGTGACTGGTAATGGAAAAGAAGCTCTTTAAAATCTTTATTTGCATGTGTATGTGTTCATGTAGTATATACACACATATGGGCCAATAGAGCACAGAAGTAGTAAGGAATCCTCAGGTGTCTTCTGTTACTCTATGCCTTTGAGGCAGGGTCTCTCCTTGAACCTGGAGCTCATGTTTTCTTGGTTACTAAAAGCCACATTACCAAAAGCAAATCTATCTCTGCCTTCCCTCAGAGCTTGGATTACAGATGTGTGCAGAACACAGCCTGCTACATAGTTCTATGATCCAAACTCTGTCTCCATGATTGCATAAGCAGTCTTTTCAGTTGATTTCCAGTTTCTTTGTGTGTGTGTGTGTGTGTGTGTGTGTGTGTGTGTGTGTGTGTAAGTAATTTATATATAGATTATAGTTTGCTTGCATATATGTCTGTATACTGACTTGTGTTTAGTGCCCTCAGAGGCCAGAAAAAGGATCCCCTAGGATTGGAGCTACAGATGGTTATGAGCTGTCGTGTGGGTGCTTAGGACCAAATCTGGGTCCTCTGGAATGACCTCCCATGCTGAGCTGTCTCTCCTGCCCTACAGTAGGTCATCTTGACCTCTGAGCCACACACCCAGCTGAGAACAGGCATGACCTATTAGTATAGCGAGACACACTATTGTGCTTGGTGCCAGTACTCCAGGCAGGATATGTAGAGATTTCCTGCCCTTCTCTCTCTCTGATATGGTCTTCCCTGTAAGTCCCCAGTTGCTGTGTGGTGTGAAGAAATTTGTTTGATGTTAGCTCTATTTAGCACTTAATTCCACCCAGGTGAAAATGCCCAGGCTGTCTTACTCTGTCACCTTTCTTGAGCACACAGTCTTAGGGGATCTACATTTTGGTTTATAGAAGGAAGGATGTCTACTTTCAAAGTGTCTGTTGAATAAATATCTCTCTGGCTTCCTTCTTGCCATCCCTGTATATCTGTGATGTTCTAGTTGTTGACTTCCAATTCTACAAATTACCTATGAGTGATGTGATACAGCCTAGAATTCTAACCAGTGTTTTATTTAGCCTGCCTCTGCCATTGCTTGGGTGATGAGACTATCTTCTGTTGGTATCACTAGGGCCTCCTTGGGGCACTCCACTATTACAGAGCCTTTGTTCTCAGTAATGCTCATAAGACCCCTTTTGGACCATCACTAATCTGTAATGAGTGGGTCACTGAATCCTTACCACTTGAGCCCTGTGACAAGTGACTTTCAGCTCAAATCCATGTCACATGGGAGTTGAGAAGAGCTTTTTGTTTGTTTGTTTTTTGGTTTTTCGAGACAGGGTTTCTCTGTATTGCTTTGGAGCCTGTCCTGAAACTCACTCTGTAGACTAGGCTGGCCTCGAACTCACAGAGATCCATCTGTCTCTACCTCCCAAGCACTGGGATTAAAGGTGTGCACCACCAACGCCCTGCAAGAACAGCTAAAATGTTAAATACTCTGACTACTATATCCCCCTTATTAAGCTGCAGAGGTAACCCCAAATGGTATCTCTCTCTCAAGGCCCTAGATGTGGAACAAGAAACAGTTGCCTGCCCTGTTCTCCCTTCCTAAATACACATTCCTGCCTTGATAGAGAGATTGGAGTGTGTATCTGGCTGTTTATCTCTCCCCAACCTCTAGGTTGCGAAGTGTGTGTATCTGAGTGTGTGTGAGAATGTGTGTTTTAACAGCAATATCTTAAACAGTACATACTTGTTAATACATTTATATAAGTGTATTTTTAGCAATGCCACCTTGAAGGTCAGCAAGGACTATTATGTCTTGGATAAAATATAGAGTGTATGTAATATCTTTCTTCCTTTTCTCTTTGTTCTTACCTTTGGACTATTGTGTTCTTCAGGGACTTTGCCTGCCATCAAGTTTGGCAGACATTCCTACAGTGTGGACAGTGGATTAAGTTAGGTGTCCTTTGTTCTTTTCAAGGAGAGATACTTGTACACATTCTGTGAGAGTTGGGAGGCCTCAGCCAGGACCTGGTATTTCTGTGCTGTGCCCTGGTTTTTCAGAGTCCCTGTGAAAGTCATGTTGTTCATTTACTTCCTTCAGATGTAAAAATGTTTCCTGATTGGAGGCTTTGTGTGCATGTAACCACTTGAAATACAAAATAGCACCTTCACACTTCACCCTACCCCTTTCATTTTCTGTCCCACTTGCCTTACTTAATATTTAAATAGCCATTTTCACTACTTAATACATTTAGTCTTTTTATGGATACCTTGCCTGCTAAAATGCAGGACACTTGAGGAAGCTTTCCTCCCCCCCCACTCCCCGCTTGTTTCACCAGACCCTAAAATAGAGATGTTTGAGGTTTAGTAAGAGTTTCCTGGCTGGAGAGATGGCTCAGAGGTTAAGAGCACTGGCTACTCTTCCCTAGGACCAGGTTCAATCCCCAGCACCAACATGGTGGCTCACAGCCGTCTTCAGCTGCAGTTCTGGAAGATCCAGTGCCCTTTCATGGCCTCCAAGGGCACTGCATATGCATGGTGCACAGACCTGAGCAAGCACTCTTACACATAAAATGTAAAATACTAAGAATCTTATAAAGTAGTCTTTTAATTTGAAAGTTTCTTTTGGTTTTGCACACTTTTTTTGTTGTTGTTGTTGTTTAAATTTATTTGTGTGTGTGTGTGTGTGTGTGTGTGTGTGTGTGTGTGTGTGTGTGTT